ACTACACAACTTAACATCAAACTTGCAGCATTATGACTATGAGCTCTATTCTGCAACAATCAAACAAATAAAAAAGTTAATATTGAACATAACCTCAGAAAGAAGGAGAACCTAGATAGATGGCTACCTTCAGAGTTTGGTTAAAAGCTGAAAGAAAAGTGAGTTGTAAGGGTCCCAAATTTTGTTATATTGATTAAGAAATATATGTTTTGAATAACCATACGATAAGTAGAAAAGACAAACCATAAGTAATCATATCTATTACAAATTCAAAAGTACACACCTGTCAATCTAATATAGACTTTAACAATTTCAAGAAAAATCTAGTGGTAAGCTCCTAAAACAAAATACAAAAAGCTGTAATTAATTGGTTAGAAGATCTCATGGTCGTTTGTTTAAACAATCTATTGCATCAGCCGAAGATACAGCAGCATTCTTAAAGTTTTCTCACGAGCTTCTTCTTCTTCACTACTAAAGAGAATGAAAGAAAACAGATGACTAAGAATGTATTTGCAAGATGTTAGAAAATTAAATATTAAACAAATAATATGAAATTTGAGTAGAACATACCTAGAATTCTCAGGTCTTACAATTTGGAATGACGATGAACAACAACAAATAAAATGACATTGAACGCCTATAATCTTCATTCAAACAGTACAGTAACTAAGAAATTGATAGTTATAAAATGAGACAAAAATTTGAAATTCGCAAACAAAATGTTCTCGGTCGAAGCATATACCTCAAATTGTACAAAATGCTTGATTTCATCCCTGGCAGATCCTGACTGAAAAAAAGAAAAAAATAGCTCGTCGTGGTCTTCATCAGGAGGCTCCAATTTTCATGGCCATCCTTTTTCTAAAGCCACGCATCTTCAAGGTAGGAGTCGGCAGCACATCGCCCTTTTTCCATTTGGAACCACCACTGAAACCCCTAACCAATAAAAGATTGGAGCCCAATAAGAATGTGAGGCCCAATATACTTTCCCGTATGTAAGAGAAGAGTGGATCATTAGGGAAGAGGGATTATCCACAGTCCGGCTTCTTATCTATCTATATAATATATATATATTATTAATATATATTTAATAATGGCAAGTGTTTTTGTAAAAATATGAACTACCTAAAAAATATGAACTACTTAAAAAACCCTTACTTTGGCATATTTTTAATGGCAAGTTAATAATACACTAATACACATCATATTTTATATTTTTAAATATAAAATTGAATTACCTAACAAACTCTTACTTTTGACATGTTTTTAATGGAAAATTAGTAATACACTATTGTCCATCATATCTTATATTTTTAATTATAACTAATATATAATTAATTAAATATAAATACATGAACAAATCATTCCACACTCCTAAAATCAACTACAATATGTTGGTTTGGCACCATTATTTCTCACGAATTTGTTTTCTTTCACATATCTCTAAAACTGTTAGATAGGATATATAATTGTTATTTTGAAAAACGTCATTATTTTTAATATAATTTTAATGATAATATTGTAATCACATTTCATAACTCTAATATATAAAAGTTTTTTAAAGAAATTAAAATTGATCCAACAAAAAAAATAATAAACACTTATAAAATTAGAAATCGATATTTTTTTTCTCATAACGACCACAAAGTATAGAAACATTATTTTCAAAATAAACTATAAAAAATATGATAGTATGCGAGATTAATTGTTGAATGATTGTTCTGCAACCTAAACTTTTAATCAATTCAATTTCTTCGGTACATAAGACCAGAACAATTTTATGAAATTGTATAATACTAAAACTTAATCTATTTGTTTTCACGTCAAATGAGATACCACTTTAGCAACATGGATTAATTTTAACCATATAATTATCTATAAATTAATTAAAAATATCTCGAGAATCATGATATGATTTATATGTTGAAAATTAATTAATTTTAATCAAAAAATTATATTCATATATTATAATTACTCATCTATCTATTAATATGTGTTATTATAATAAAATTGTTTTTAAGAAAAAAATGTACAAAATAAAAATTTATATATTTGAGTATAAATGAGAAGATTATAATTATATATAATATGATATAAAGATATAAAATTAATTGATGTAAATAAGACATATGATTCAAAAAAGTGCTATACTTTAATTTATGTATTTTTTAACAAACCTAAAAGTTATACACACACACATATATATTAAAATACATATGAAAGAACAGTTTAAAGTTAAAAAAATAATAAATCTAATAAATAATATTAAATTTATAATTAAGTTGTAACACTTACTAATAAATATAAAAAAAAGTAATAAATAAAAATATTATAATTAGTAAAAGTAATTATAGAACTTTTAAATTTGTACTTATCGATGTAGACGAGCCAAATTGTTCACCACATGTTAAATTTTTGCGCTTATTAGTTTAGTGTATAAATATTAAACGATAGACAATAGTTATTTATACTTTTATCCATGTAAGTTATAAATGTATTTTTTATTTTTTTAAAAAAGCTCCATGTAAGTTATAAATTTATTTCTTATTTTTTAAAAAAAAGCTATGATAATTTTGATTTTAAATAACGTTTTATTTGCTATTAGTTTTTTAATATAATATATAAATACCATATTATATATATACAATAATACTTTTTATTATTTTATATTTAATGTGCAAGAAATGTAACTCAATCGATAAGTTAATAGGTAGTCTTGCGATAAAATAATGAGCGATTTCTAAAAAAATATAGGGATTAAAAAGTTCAGGTGTATATTTTTAATAGAAAAATTATAAATACAACGGTAAGACATCCAATGAAAAACTCCTACATAAAAAATATAATTTATAAAGGAATAAAAAAAATGTTACATTGCAATGAAAAATCCAACGGTAAGACATCCACTGAAACTCCCAATGATATTTTATTCGTATACCTGTCATTGTAAAATTTTATTGACTATTCCAATAGAGATCAAATTAATTATATTGAAATTATAGTGGATTTAATTCATCCAATTATCATTATTTATTATTGTGTGAATTGAATTTTTTTCGGGTCATATTTCAACAGTTGAAAAAAATATCACTGGAATTGTAAGAATTTCAATGGAAGTTCTATTCAAAATCTACCTGCAGTGGTGGTGGATACAAAATAATTTCATACTTGAGGCATTATTTAGTTAATAGAAAAGGTATACCATTAAAACAACATAATGTCATTATAATTTATAAATTATATTTTTCATAATTTGTTATCTTTCTCATTTATATACATGTTACACATCAATACAATTACAATTAAAAAAACATAACTTTTCTCAATTCAACATAAGCAAATAATTGAAAATAATTATGTTTTTTAAAATTTTATGAACAAAAGTTGACTCGACAATATTATTGATAAATTTATGAATTATAAATATTTAATTGTAGTATAAATTAAAAAAATTATAATTAAATATAATATAATATAAGATATACAAATAATTGATATATAATGAGACAGATGATCGAAAAAATTCTAGACTTTATATTATGTATTTTTTGACAAATCTACAGTTAAGAACATGTAAAAGAACAAGATAAAAATTTAAAAAAATATTAAATATGATAAATAATATTAAAAATAAATAAGTTGTGACACGTACAAATAAATATGGAACAAAGTAATAAATAAAAATATTATAATTAATAGAAGAAATATAAACCTTTTATAAATATACTTATCGACGTAAACGAGAAAAGTTGTTAAACGCTTGTTAGTTTTTTGTCCTTATAATTTTATTTGTAAATTTGATGTGATAGACAATAGTTATTTGTACATTTATCCATGTAAGTTACCCAAAAAAAAAAAATCTTTGTTATTCTAATTTTAAATAACTTTTTATTTTCTCTATTAGTTTTTTTAATATAATATATAAATATCATATTGAACATATAAAATAAGAAATATTCTAATTTTCAAATATTTAATATGTAAGAAATATATAAATTAATAGGTAATCTTGAGATAAAATAATGAGTGATTTCTGAAAAAAAAATATAGGAACGAAAAAGTTCATGTGTTTAATATATTTTTAATAGAAAAATTGTAAACACAATGAATCAATAAATACTACATAAAAAATTAATGTTTAAGAGGACTACAACAAATTGCTATATTTCAATGAAAAATTCAACGGTAAGGTATTCAACAGAAAATTCCAACGAATATTTCATAAATATGCTTTTATTGGAAAATTTCATTGGCTATTCCAACAGAGTTCAAATTAAATTACATGAACTTTTAGTGGATTTAAAGATTTCAATTACTTGAATTTCCATTGAAATTTATTTTGGACCATATTTCATCGTTGGAAAAACTGTCATTGGAATTTTGCAAAAATTCAATGGAAATTCTATTGGAAAGCTAATTGCAATGATAGATTCAAAATAATTTCATATTGGAGACATTATTTAGTTAATAGAAAAAATATACCATCAAAATAACATGTCATTGTGTTTATAAATTATACTTTAAATAATCTATCACCGTTCTCATTTATAATACATTTTAATAAATCAATACAGTCACAACAAGATAAAATATATTTA